TAGACATGACACCAAGTAAACCTTAAGTTTGTGTGAAGGCTCTTGAATGAATTCAGTATTGCCTGAGATAAGGCCCATTAAACAGAGCATGAAAAAGTAAAATACTTACAAAGATTAGTGATAAAGCGAGCAACGAGTCAAGAACTGTACCAGAATTGTCTACAAAAATTCTAATTTTCTGCACAATAACAATTGGCAGAAAGTGAAAAAGCAGGATAAAATTTCTCACAACTGCAGAAATGAAAATTAATTCTGTATTCATCTCAGAAAGCTATGCAAATTACAGGCAAGCTGCTGAAAAAAATATAAGATTATACAACTCTAGAGTAACCACAAGCCAATCAATTTGTTTGTGAATTCTCTGGGCCTCTTGTTCCTCCTTCTCATGTTTACTGCTTAATATTTGCCCACTTAACTGTTTGTCAGCAACTCTCCCATGACAGCGACCCAGAAAAACAAAGTGAAACTTAAGCACATGAATGCCACTCTATGAAGGCATCCAGGAGGTGTCTGTTGGGATTGCATTCAGGACTTGTGGGAAACCCATGAGCTCTTTAAGAGCATTAACTAAGATAAACACTGAGAATGTTTTCTGGAAATCAGTTGCTAACATTGGCTTGATTAGATCAGTTAAGGTAAGCATTGATTGTGTTAACAAGTAGAATAACAAAAGAATGTGTGGTATGTTTTTAGGCGCAAAAGAAGCAATGAAGAAGGGGAGGATGGAGAGACACAAGCCACTGCAGTAGAAATTTTCTACAGGAGGCAACCTGATATAATAGAAACACTTCTGTAAGCAGAAACTGAGGCCAAACCTGACTCTATCATTCACGAGTAATAGAAATCAGGCCATGTTATTTGGCTTCTCAGAATCAACTTCTTTTTCATAAAATAGGAGATAGAATACTACATTTTCTTCATAAAGTTGTGATTATCGACTGAATAAATTATGCAAAACACATAGCCCATAAAAGCAAATATCTAATCTCCTCACCCAAATCCTAGTTCCTATCACAATAGTATCTGCCTATTTGCCTAAGTACTGAGAGTCATATCGTTTTAAGCAAGCTCTGAAGAAATATCTAGAGAGTAATTAACATATGGTTAAAACTATCACGGGAAATACAAAATGATAGATTCACAACTGGGATAGATTTTAAAAGAGGGGCAATTTACTGATAAAAATGTATTTTTTCCTTCATTGCACAGAAAAAATATTATAAAAGCTCTACTTAAAGATTATGGCAAGTCATATCTTGGAGGGGGGGAATGATTTACTTTTATACCAACCTACGTTTACAAAATGTGTCCTTTACAAAATTACTAAAATTTATATTCTATTGGAAGACATATTTTGTGTTTTGTTCATTGTTGACACCCTTGAATAATGGCTGATCTATTGTAATAGACAATTTGGAAATACTTTGAATGAATACCATATGCATATAATATATTTGGTACTTAAAACACAAGATAAATAATAGCAAGCTAGAATAGATAGAAGACAACACAACTACTAATATAGTTTCTGAATCATCATTTATAAAGTTTTGGAATTCTGCTGATTCACAATCCATATGTAATACACAAAGAATATTATAAATGATTATAGAAAAATTCCATTATCTTTTCATTCCATTTTTCCATAAACTTTTTGAAGCTTACTTGTATATTAAGTATGGATTTTGAAGCCCCATCATATATTAGTATGTTGTTGTTAGGTGCCTTCAAGTCAGTTTCCACTCACAGTGACTCTGTGTTTCCAAGGAGCAGCTAGTGGGATTGAACTGCCAACCTTATGGTTCACAGTCCAGTGCTGATCCTACAATGCCACACCAGGAGTGCATATTAGTTTATATGTGCTTATTAGCATATACACATATACTAATCTATTAGTATGTGCACATATGCTAATATAGTACACTAGTATTTTGTTTTTGTTGTTAAGTAACGTTGGTCAGCTCCAACCCATAGTACACATGTATAAGTACAAAATGATAAATAATTCCTTGATCCAGATGCTATATTTTCTGGAAGCGGTATAAATAAACCCTTCATGATAAAGAAGGAGTGGGAGGGGTAGAAACAAAAGTAAACACAAGCTCACCAGCTGCTTCTTAGAAACCCTATACAGGGTCGCTATGGGTTGGAACTGACTCAATAGCACTTAACAACAACAATAACATGTCAGGATGGTGAGACTTCATCTCTCATACTTCGGACACACTATCAGGAGACACCAGTCCCTGGAGAAGGATACTGACACTATACTTGGTAGAGTAGAGGGTCAGAGAAAAAGAGGAAGCTCCCCAGTGAGACAGATTAATATAGTTGCAAATGGCCTTTGTGAGATGGTGTAGGACAGGACAGTGTTTCATTCTGTTATGCATAGGATCATGATGAGTTGGGACCAACTCAAAGGCACCTAACAACAACAATGCAAAAACAAAGGTCTAAAATGTTGGTTTTATTTTTAGAAGTATTTATAGGCAGTCCTCAGGTAATGAATGAGATCTGTTTATAACAGTGTGTTTTTAAATCCTAAGAGGAATTTGTAGGTGTATTGGAATCAGTGCATGTGGTTCTTACCTTACTTTAATGCAAGAAAAAATTCTAAACCTTTCACTGATATAAAATCTACCCATATAGCAAGTAAATTAAATGAATAATACTAAGATACATTAAGTTCCAAAGCAAAATAATTTTGTAGAATGCTTAATATCAAACCACCATAGATTTAAACTATAAATCACATCGACTGAAATGAGTATCTACAGATATCCATAGAGTAATTATAAATTAGTTCAAAGGTTGGCAAAGTAAATAGCACTGGCCTATGTATCTGTCTGCCAATTTCTTTATAATGCAGATGGAACCAACAATGCAAACAACATTGAAGAAGGATTTTCTAATGGATCTTTTTCCCTCTGAAGTTGTATGTGAGCAGAAAGGACACTCTCATTTACTAGCTTACCTTAAGGTGTCCTTCTCTTTTTCTTGATTATACATATTTTTATGCATTTTGTTCTGTTTATGCATTCTTCAATAGCATCTTTATTTATGACTTTGTGAATCAACATTTTTGTGATAGGAGGCGAAAGTCACTTAGCTAATTACACATGCTTGATGAGCTGCATAATAATAACCACTGCAGTATTGTACATTAGTTGAAGGCATGTAAATCACTGCAGTTATTCTTATTTGGGGAAAAACAAGAGAATTTGTTTTTGCAGTTTCAAACACCCTTGTTGATTCCGTGCTCATCTTCTTAAGTATTACCATGCTTTTAACCCAAATTATGGCATCAATAAAAAATAAATGCCAAATCACGTATTACAAGTATAAGAAAGAAATAAAGAACAAAAACAAAACAAAACTCAACTGAATGCAAGTACTTCTGATCTGCAGTTGAGAATCTTATTATATGAAGCTTCTTCCATATAATGCTGTCTCAGTAAAACAGAACAGTTTAGACACTTCCCACCCCCCAAGGATGCTGTAATGAAATCTGACTTGGTCCAGCCAGGAGATTAGAAGTGCATAGAGAAATAGAATGTGCAGACTAGAATATTAATATGACTTCTGTATGAAGATTGGAAATTCTATAAAGTTATGAATAAGGTCAAAATAACACTTAGATGATTTACTACCATAGAAAATCTTACTCTTCTATGAGTGATTTACTGGATGTTACATAAAAATGGAGTGTGGACAAGCCACATTCAGAAGCACGCTTGCAGCTGTCAGTATCTACATTTGCTCAATCTGGCTAGAGGATGATTTGAAGGTTGATTAAATTGTAGCTTCTGAATCATGCTCTTCCCTATGTTTTAAAATGTTTTACATAAATATAAAAATGTGACAGTAATTACAACACTGCAAATATTTAGTATAAAATCTGCAAAATTTCTCTCTCTTCTGGAAAGTTAACTAAAACTAAAGACTGTCAGGACAAAATACCATTTCTTAATTATGGCAATTGTCCAATACTCAATACAAATCTATAATATGGTGACAGTTCATAAACTATTCAGAAGGAGGTTAGAATAAACAAACAACAACAAGAACAAAAAACTAAGTTGGTGACTGAAATGATCCATTTAAGAGGAACAGAACTCTACCTGCAGAATAAGTTGACAAGTTAGTAAAACAGCTTTGATTGGGTTCTTTGTGGGCAATATACTATCTGAAATATCTTCTCCTCTAGAAACAAACTCAAAGCAGAAATTCACCTATAGTGGATTCTACCAGCACCAGAATACAAGGCACCATCGATGATCTTTGCCAATGTTGCCTCCACAGCTTGAATCCTCCTTAACCATTTTTTCTATTTCTTGCTATAACCTTCATTAAATTCCAAGTATCACCTAACCATTCGCTTCCCAGCATCAGCAAATCATCCTTAGGGAGAGTAACTTGTTCTTCCTCTGCAAGCTTTTTCCCCCGTTTTTATTTCCACTTTTATACATACCTCCTTTTCTACATATTTTCTTGCCGGGTTTTCTGGCACATTCCTTGGATATTCTTTTTACTGAAAAATGAATAGAAGACTAGAAAATAACATGGCGCTCCATCACAGACCGCCGGAGCATGCAACACCAGTATCTAACTTAATATGCTCCTGCATTAATTCAGTGCGAAAGATCCCCAATTTGTTGAGTCTGCACATGCAATGGAGAAATGTTGATGAATCTTCTCAGAAGTCATTTGGTAGGAAATGGAAATTAGAAACCCATTTCTACCTAAATACACGTGCTGCGGAGGAAAGAAAATGAGTAGGCACAGAAAACAAATAAGAATAGATACACCAACACACATAAACAAAAGAGCAACATGCACGCATGTAAAATATGTCTACATGCCAACAAGAGAAGCCATGCATGCTACCAATACATGTAAATTAATATTGTTAGAACTTAGAATAGAAAAGAAATATATCAATAGATCTCCCTGGGTTTTGTTTGTTTGTTTGTGTGTTTGTTTTCCTGCAATAAACTCACCATCCTCAGTTGGAACATATATGTTTAAATATAGGCAGTCTTCACTCTGGTCTTGTACATAGGAAGAAACCACATCCAAGTTATTAGTAAACCACACCGGAAGCATGACTTCTGGCAATCTGCCATCAATGATATTCTGGGGACATACAGGAGCAAACTGAGTAGCATTTCTGATATCTGACCAGGGAGATGGCGGCTCTGGAGGCTGAAAACGATGCTCTCCCGTTGGTGGGGCTGCATATGGAACTCCAAGAAATTGAATAACAGGCCCCAAAATTTCATTGTTGAGCTCTTTCTTAATTCCTCTTATCTTGCCAAAGTTGGTAGTCACCAATGGATCCACATCATCCAATTTTTGTGACAGCACATGGGTAGCCTGAAGCACACATCCCAATATACAGAGAGTCAACGAGGCACCCAATCCCCTGTGTGCCAAACATGCCATTACTGGTTTCCAAACATAATTTGACCTCATGCATCTGGGCAGTGCCATGTTCCCACATTAGTTGTCTACTTGTCTGGTTACAGTGAGGCAAATGTATTTGTATCCACTTGATGATAGAATATGCTCCAATTTCTTAAAGGTGAGTTTATCAAGAAAAGCTCAGAGAGCTCTTCATGCAGCAAGTATCTCCCATTGATTTCACATGTATTGAAGCAGCATCTTCAGTCATCACTATTTATCAGACCATATCCTATTGACCATTCTGTTTTCCATAGTAGCATCATGGCAGGAGTGGCCACTGACTGTAGATTTCTCTTTTATAAATTAGATCCAGTTAGTGTGGGTCTATATCCTAGAGAAAGTAAGAAATAAATCATTAGTACAAACAATCTAAAATAGAATGATAACTAACTATGGAAATACAATAATAATGGCTAGAGTCAGGTAAATTAAATAGCCCCATAGTAAAATGATGGTTTGATGTGAGATGACAGATGAAATAACTGATTATTAGATTACTGTGAAACTTGCCTGCTGAATTTCCATACATTTAAGTGGAAGCAGACCTTGGCAAAATATACAGTTTCAAGAATTTTTCACAGTACAGTATTTTTTAAATACTGAAAGTATAACATTTCTCCTGTGTTAATAGTCTTACATCACTTCATGTGACTTCAGGAAACACAGCCAGAATCCGAATCCCCAAGCAGAAAAAGACTCTTTTCTTGTGTTTTTTAAATTTATAGAGCATAGTTGTTTTTAAATGCTGTTGAGTCAGTTCCGACATAGTGACCATGTATAGAATTTCTGTGGAGCAGATAGTGGGTTTGAACTGTTGACCTTGTGGTTTGCAGTCCATTGCTGATCCTACAGCATCACACTAGGAGTCCTGGTAGAGCTTCAGTGGAACAAAAATAAATTTTCTAAGACTGACTTCATATGTCAAAAAACAAACAAAGATGGTTCTTATCCATGCCCATGATATATAAATACAGCAAAGTAAAACCTAGAAGATGAAAAGTCATACTAATCCATTACGGTCATTTAAATAAAATTACCTCATTAGTTCTACCTCTTTGTCTTTCAAAAGTTTGCAAAAAGTCATTGGCTATAGGTCTCCCACCTTAAATTAAGGTGCACACATTTAAAAGGCAAAATGGCTGTAGATACAATTTGAAAAAAGAGATAGAAGCTGACATCTTTTTAACAGAGAAAGGTTGTTACCATCTTGTTCATATATATATTAGAAACCATTAACATTACATTGTAAAAACTAATTTATGGTTCAGAGTCTATATATTATAAATTACAAATTGGTTTGTCTGTTAGAGAGCAAAGGAGGAAGAAAAAAAAGGACTATAGATAGTTGTTTAAAGGAACAGTCACACCTAGTCACTGCATTTGTGTATCAACACTTAACAAACATCTAACCTGTTTACAGAGTTCAACTTAAAATGCATCAGATAGATTCAAGTGTAAAGTTCAGTGCAATGAGACCCACAGTGTGCTAGTAACTGCAAAATAGAATATATCTCAGAAAGTGTGTCTCCCTTGTGCAAGCAACCTTTTAAAGTGCTTACTTTGAAAATAATAGTGTTGCTTTGAATTAGAGAGGTTTCTGCAGTGTCATATTATGGGAAGATTTGTGAAGAAGTGCTGGTCTGGAAGTTGAGGCTGCTCTGACTTTGTATTATTTAAAAGCAGATTGTAAAAACCTACATAGGACAGCAGGAGATTTGGTTCCAGCCTGGTGTTCCTTTAGCTCTCAACAATCCATCTCAGAAGGCAGTGAGAAGATCAATGTCTCTCTTCAATCTGTGTTAATTCACATTCCTTTGCTGTGAGAGCACATTAGCATACAAAAGATGAGCTCAGACCCATCAGACTCCTGTTACATATCTCCAGCATTTATTGGAGATTTAGCTACACAAACCCATTGCTGTAAAGACCATGTCATGCTTATTCCTGTGTTGACAAAGGGTGGGCCATAGCACAATTGAGTCTTCCCTAGGCTACACTTCAGTGTTAAAAAGCATCATTTTCTACCTAAAATAGAGATCCCATACTGTTGTTAAATGTTGTCCAGTCGGTTCCAACCCATAGCAACCCTGTATAGAGTTTCTGCGGAGTGGCTGGTGGATTTGAACTACCGACCTAGTGGTTCAAACTGACCGAATGGTTCAGTGAGTTATCATGCAGCGCCACATCCTTAAAGGGCTCCATCATTATTTTTTATTCAGCCTCACCTTCAAGTATGGCAACTGCTAAACAGTCTTCTTCCCACACTTAGTATTTCAATAATAAAAACACCTGTTTTGCTGTTAATAAAATAACATTCCTCTTTTGTACTCACAAATCCTGAAATGTGTTAAAATAAAGGGGCTCCTGTTTCCCATTATTAGGCAACTTTGTCACAGATTGGAGGGGTAAAGAATGCTACATATCATGGAGAATTTTGAATTTTGATCTAAGAGTGTTTAGCTCCATCTTGATATTACCAAAAGATCCCATTTTACATGGGCTTACCTATAAGGAGCTCTGGTAGCGTAGTGGTTATGAATCTGGCTGCGAACCTTAAGGTCAGCAGTTCGAAACTACCAGCCACTCCGCGGGAGATAGATGAGGCTTTCTGCTCCCGTAAAGATTTACAGCCTCGGAAACCCTGTACAGGGTCGCTATGGGTCGGAACCGACTCAACGGCACTTAACAACAACAACAATACAGAAATTTATTGTATTGAATCCAAAGATTATTTAGAATTAGGAGTCTTGATGTGGCTCTATAGGATAAGCACTGTGCTGCTAACCACAGGTAGGCAGTTCAAACCTGCCAGCCTATCCTTGGAAACCCTAAACTCAATGGCACTTAACATCAACACTATAATGATAATAGTATCTATGTCTAATATTTTTAAAAGGCTTCTTCAAATTACTAAAAATGTTCAAACATATGTTCTTACTTAAAGACTCAAATTCATCCTTATCATCTTTGTAATTTATTAATCACTGATTGGTGATTGTGGTTATGCGCCATGGAGTTAGGTCCAACTCATAATGACACTGCACAGGGTTTCCAAGGCTATAAATTTTTTTTGTTGTTAAGTACCATGGAGTCGGTTTCAACTCATAGTCACTCTGCAGAGGGTTTCCAAGATTGTACATCTTTACAGGAGCAGAACGCATCATCTTTCTCCAGTGGAACCACTAGTACTTTCAAACTGCTGGCCTTGAGGATGGCAGCCCAACTCGTAACCACTATGCTACCACAGGAGCTGAAAGCCTCATCTTTCTGGTAAGCAGCAACTGGTAGATTCAAACTGCTGATCTTGTGGTTAGCAGCCCAACTCATAACCCACTACCTTACAAAGGCTCCTTAATCATTGATTGGTGGTGGTGGTTAAGTGTCTTGGAATCAGTTCCAACTCATAGTCACCCTGTATAGGGTTTCTGAGGCTGTAAATTTTCACAGGAACAGAAAGCCTCATTTTTCTTCTGAGGAACAGCTGGTAGATTCAAACTGCTGACCTTGTGGTTAGCAACTCAGCTCATAATCCACCATGCTACCAGAGCTCCTAATCACTGATTGGTGGTGGTTATGTGCCATGGAGTTGGTTCTGACTCATAGGACCCCTATATAGGGTTTCCAAGACTGTAAATTCTTATGGGAGAAGAAAGCCTCATCTTTCTCCCATGGAACAGCTGGTAGTTTCAAATTGCTGACCTTGAGGCTAGCAGCCCAAGTGGTAACCACTACACTACCAGAGGCTCATAATTATTGATTAGTACATGCCAAAACCTTAATTTTCATGCATTTACATTTCATTTTAAATTATTCTATAAAATGGGTTCAACAATTATCCTGAAGGAAACAAAGAGTTTAAATACCCTGTCCAAGTTCCATCAGCTGATAGCAGATCCCGAGATCCACTGGCATCAGAATTAAAGGTCATCTTCTTAATCATACTATGAGATATATTCTCTCAATTCACAATTAACAATTTGAAGCAAAATTGATCTTAGTACATTTAAAATTGAATTATAAAATTGTTTCATTTTATCTCAGAAGATATGCCTAGGTAAATACTCATAACAATTTCATAGCTATAGAGAAATTTAAGGTATACCTTATTTTAGTGACCTTCTGGTGTGGCACTGTGGAATCCGCTCTGGACTTCAAACCACAAGTTAGCAGTTCAAACCCACCAGCTGCTACCTGGAAACCTTATACAGGATTGCTATGAGTCAGAACTGATTCAACAGCACTTAACAACTATCTGATTTTAATGGATGTTTATTGTAGTTTTTGTTGTTAAATACCATCAAGTTGGTTTCTGACTCAAATAGACCCTGCTTCAAGGTGGTGGGTTTGAACCACTGACCTTTTGGTTCACAGTCCAGTGTTTATCCTACAGCGCCACACCAACATTCATCTATTTTGATGTATGCAACTGTGGCGGTGATGGTGGTGTGCCATGGAGTCAGTTCCAACCCCATAGCATCCCTGTTTAGGGTTTCCAAGGACCAGCGAGTGAGTTTGAATTGCCGATCTTGTGGTTCAAACTGAACTTTAGGTCCCATGCTTATTCTACAGCGCCATACTAGGACTCCAAATACATAGGTCAGTGCTTCAAACTCACCAACTGCTCTACAGAAGAAAGATGAGGCTGCTTCCATAAAGATTTAGTGTCTCCTACATCCTATATAGGGTCACTATGAGTTGGGATTGACTCAAATGTCAGTGGTTTTTTTGCTTATATATGACCTTTTATACTATACAACGAATTCAGTTATAGGGTCTTCATACATGACTACACAAGATTACGCTACAACCATTAGCAACAGGAATGAAATATTTGACAACTTAAATGCCCATGATTAAACATTGAGAAATGAGTCAAAATTATAGGTCCATGAAAATGGACCTACAGTTACATATAAGGAGCTCTGGTGGCATAGTGATTATGAGTCAGGTGGTTAACCTCAAGGTCAGCAGTTCAGAACTACCAACTGTTCCAAGGGTTTCTGAAAGATGAGGCTTTCTGTTCCTATAAAGATTTACAACTTCAGAAACCCTATGCAAGGTCACCATGAGTAGGAAATGACTTGGCAGCACACCACCACCACCACCACAGTTACGTATATCAACATAGATGAATCTGTAAAATTTGGAAACAAAGAAAGCAAGCCATAGAAGGTTAGGCACAGTAAAATATTACTTAGTTAAAGATTAAAATATGCAAAACAATGTTATTTACTCCTCATGGATACATACAATGGGACTTCAAAGAGTTCATGGAAAAATGGAACTAAAGATAATGGAATTTTTCCATGAATTTTTTGAAGCCCCCTGGCA